ATCATATCCCACATACTACCCCACAGGAGAATGATGAGGCTGACTGTTCTCGAATGGATGAACAATCTTGGGAATCTTATACAGGATTGCTAGGAATCAAAACAGACTCAATGGCAATGGGTATAATGAAATATGTAATCGGTCAACGTTTAAAAGATCTGCACAAAGCTCAGTGAATTTGACCTAATGGCCAAAGAATGATGCTATAAAATCATGCATGAGTAAATAATCCATCCAAAGAACAAGATAGACCAGTAGACTTTAATGTATCAGAGTGCAAAAATTTATTTATTATTGATTATTCCAGATTCCATACTACAAACAACTGGGGGGAAAAAACACCCTTATTGCAATTTGCTTAAGTAACTAAAAAGATTACCCTTAAGAACCGGAAAAGGCTATTAAATTGACTAGAACTACTTCTACTTTAACCAAACAAAATATTACAACAGATCAAGCATAGAAACAAAATAAGAGAACGCAGATTATTGAAATCCCACATTGAAGAGATGGGCAAAAACGTAAAGCAATGCCAGTCACATTAGTAAATGTTCTCAAAGATATAGCTATCATTTATTACATAAAAAAGTATATTAACATGCAATGAGTTAATTCTTGATTTTTTAATTAATTAGCATTTTTACATTTATAAGTTTTAATTTGGAAACAGAAAAATATAATATTTTATGTAAATAAATTATTCATCCAACCTATCTAAAGAGATAATTTCTATAGATAAATATGTATATATATATAAAATATATCATCTGTGTCAATAAATATAATCTATATTAAGATTTTTAGACTCTCCAGTAATATTTAAGAACATGAATAGATTCCGATACCAAAAAGCCTAAAAATGGTTACAACAGAGAAACAGCAAAGGCAAAACTAAAAGATTTTTAGTTTCTGGGTAGTGTGTGTGTATGCATATCCATATATACACTATATGACAGACACTTAAGTGTAAAAAAAGTTTTTTTAAGAGAAAGCACAAATTAGCTATGTTAAAAGAAATTATCAGTATAGATCCGATAGAGACTAGGAAGATTACTGAACTTAATGGCAATAAATTTGAGAATTGAGAGAGAATGCAAAACCAATTCAACTTACTAAAATAGGCAATATATAAAATGTAGATATGTATAAACTCTGATAACTATTAAAGAAAGTGAATGAGTAAATAAAACCCTTCTCATAAAAGGCCGGGTTCACATGGCTTTCCCATGAATGATGACAATCGTTTAAGGAAGTGACAGCTACATAAAAATCATGCAAATCCATGCACAGAAATAGGAAAGATCTACAGCTCTCTTTAGCACAAACTCAAAATAACAACTAGTCAAAGGCATTATAAAGAAAGGAAAATTAGAGGTTAATTACATTCATGAACAAAGATGCTAAAATCCTGATCAAAATTTTAAAGTTGAATATAACAATATTTTTAAAACACCATGACTAAATGAGTTAGTTAAAAGAATGCAACATTCACTGAGCCTTGAAAAGTAAATCAATATAATTTACCAGATTTAAAAAGAAAAACCATATTATCTCATTATAGAATGTGGTAAAATTTAACAACTATTCAAATATAAACTCTTACTTATTAGTAGTATATCAGAAAAAGAAGGGCACTTTCTTAATCTGATAAAAAGTTATCTACACAGAACTACAGCAAACAGCATACTTCACGGTCAAACACTGAAAGCTCTCCCTTTGAGACCAGGCACAAGACAAGGATGTCCTCTGCCACCACTTCTAGTCAGAGCTGTACTGCAGGCCACAGCCAGAGAAGCACGGCAAGAGGAAGAAATAAAAGTGTAAGGAGTGACAAGAAAGAAACAAAATTCATTATTCAAAAATGATCTGACTATGAATACAGAAAACTGAAAGAACCCAAAAGAAAAACTGTTAGAACTAAGAGCTGAAAAGATTCCAACACTAGCATTTCCACAGAACTAGCAACAGCAGTTTGAATGGGAAACTTCAAAAATAATGGCTTCAAACATTTTGAAATGGGAGGAAACAGCACTAGAACTGACTGTGACTGCACAACTCATTTTAAAGGCAATTTAACCATGGGGGAGAAATGTTCTAAAATTGATAACAGTAATGACGGCACATTCTTTTGATATGATTGAATGACTGAACCACTGAGTTATATGAAATGTAAATGATGTGCCAATAAAACTGTTATAAATTTTTTTGAAATAACTATCAATAAATCCAATGACAGATGTGCAAATTCTCTGAAAGTCATAAAACTGTCTTGACAGACACTAAACACAAAATAAGTGAGAAGATGCGCAATCATCAAGATTTGGAAGATGCAATATTGTAAAGATAGCCACTCTTCCCAAAGTGATTTAGAGTCAAGGTAATCTCAATGAGAAAACAACAAGGTATGTAGATGTACTTAAGTTTATGTGTTCTTGGTTTAAGTAGGAGTACATATGGAAATGCAAAGGGTTAATAGGCCAAGTATTCTTGAAAAATAAGGACTATAAAATTTTTTATAAAAGGACTAAGAAACTTCTCTAAAATATATCAGGACTTACAAGACTACAAAAAGTGAGAGAACACTTATAAAAAAAACAATTGAACTGAATGAAGATGAAACAGATCCACACATAAACATTCAATACAAAATACATGCGTACAGAAACAATGTTTCGTGCTTCAGATAAATAATGCTGAAATGAGAACTATTCACATGCAAATTAAAGTGAACTTATAAATTACATCATTCACAAAATTAAATTCTACCCAAATGTTACGAGCTTAGAAGCTAACTGAGAGATTGTGTTCCAAACCCACCAGCAGCTCGGCAGGGAAAAAAGATCGGGTTATCTGCTTGAAAATGTGCAACCTAGAAGAGTCTATGGGTCAGTTCTACCCTATTGTATAAATTGACTCAAGGGCATACAATATGTACTGGTAATCAAGTTCAGGACAATTAACACATAAAGAAGAACAACCTTAAGTATTAAAAAAGGTGAACTGATTATCTATCTCTAGTGCGACACACCTTGAAAGCAAGGAACTTATTGTGAGCAGTACGGGATTCCTGGTCAACGAGAACAAAAACTACACCTGACTGCTAAACAAAACACTGAACGTTTCAAGTCCACCCAGAGGGATTTGGAAGACAGACCTAACAATCTACTTATTAAAACTCAGTCACTGGGAACCTTCTGCAACACAGCCCTCCTTCTGACACACATGGAGTCACCATGAATTGGATCAACTCTAAAGCAATTAGCAACTTTTTAATATTAGCACTGTTATAGAATTGTTTGATATATACACAGAAATGTCATTAAGGAACCTAGATATTTTAAAGGAAGAAGAGATACTAAGATATAATATCAAAATCAAAAACTCTGTTCAAGAAGAAAGAATATGTCTTGAAACTGATTGTGGTAGCTGAATGTGATTGAATTATGAAATGTTATATCTATAAGAGCTCCCAATAAAATGATTAAACATTTTTTAAAAATTAAAAACTCTGTAATCTTTCATTTAAAGTGGAAAGAAGTCTAAAAATTCAATTATTTTACTGCTCTTTTTAAAAACAAAAAGAAAAACAAAGTTACAGTTTTGTCCATTAAAGTCCTCAAACAATAAAAGTTCCGTAATAATAAATACCCCACACACCTACACTGTGGTCCCTTCATACTAATTCCCATAAAATAAAATTTAAAATACTCCTTAGAAAAATGATTCCAGTTCTAGGGTAGAAAATGCATAGACAGTCAGCCTGATCTCTATTTCAAATTCTAGAGCAAAGGAGAGATGAGATTAAGAATTCTGGAGGCATGCCAAAAGGACGGGAGTCAAATGATGAGGCTCCCGCCAAAATAAGATCATTCCGTCATTTTAAAAGAATGATTTCAATGGGTTTTAAACCCAACATCTGTAAATTCATACAATTCTTAAAAAGAAAAAACACTGGTCACCTTAACAGGTTTTTAAAGACCAACTTATTACTCTGAAAATTGATTTTTCAAGAGGGGAGGCTTTCTAGTAGACTCTTTTCAAGATAAGCAAGTATCTGAGGAAAGAAAAGTTTTTGTTAAAACATTGCAAGAGTAATGGTGAAAACAGAACCCTGAGATTGTGTCAAAAGGCATCAATAATTGCCAAAACCAGTAAGGGGATTTTATACTGGAGTCACCTGGCTGAAGTCAACTGTGCCATTGATTAATTGTAACATTACTGAAAACAGAACAGCCACTCATGTTCCTTTTTTATGAGAAATGGAAAGCACCGCAAGTGAAATACTCCTGACAAAAAAAAAGAAGCTTAACTTGATCATCAAGACTCGCAGCTTGCAGGTCATAAGAGGAAAGAAAAACACGGTAAAGGACCATGAGAATGCCAGCCAAATTCAGCCTGTAAAAAATTCTACAGAACATAGGACCCAAGTTCTTCAGATAAATGGAAAATAAAAGGAGCAATTGATAAAGTTAAATGATACTGAAGACAAATCAATTAATGTGCTACACAGAGATCTTGTTTTGATCCTGAGGCAAATCATCAACAATTAAAAGATGTTTTCATTTTTTAATGAAATCGGGAGAAAATTGGCTAGTTAAATTACCAAGAAATTACAGTTAATTTTGTTGAGGAGAATATGATTGTGATTAAATGCTAGGAATGTATATTGAAGTATTTACTGGTGAAATCGTGATGTTTGGTATTTGCTTTGAATTACTTTACAATTAAAATGAAAAGTGATCAAGTACATAGGAAGGTGGGTTGGTATGTGGATGGTTATAACTTCTGGGAGGAAATCATTTGTAGATGAATTAATTGAAACTAAATATGAAGACACAACAAAATTTTTAGATAATAAAGAAGAAAGGCTTCATAACATCAGAACAGAACAGAAAGGATATATTAAATAAATCTCAAAAATCATGAAATAAAACTGAGTTGTACCATATAACATAATCCTATCAATACTGGCAGCTTCACACTATTTCAAAAGTACTTACTGCTGGTAAAAGAGACTGCATATTTTGATTAGAATCTGCTATTGTAGCAAGGTAGACCAAATTTGTATGCAACATCTGCTGATACCTATTAAAACAAAAGAAATATCAATTACTAGAAAATAATGTTCTTCCTGGGTACTTAAAATACAAACAGCATTCTCATCATATCTACCATGGGATGAAAAATTTACTTGTCCAAGATTTCATAGCTAATAATAAATGGAGATGCATACAACTCAGTAAACTGAGATAGAGTCTAGCTCCACACAGCACATTTATATAAAGAGAACTTAAGTGAAGGACTTAAACACACTTGATGCCTTTTTCCATTCCTCTGCCTTTTTCCTGTTGCTAAGCATCTCAAATACAAGGATAGTAAGTATGTTTTGATAAACTGTTAGAAGGGGAGTAAGAGTTATACATTTTTTTCCTGAGTCTTGCAGCAAAAAATAAATCCACTGCTACTGAGATAGTTTCCAAATCATCAAGCCTTATAAAGGAAACGGTACATTTTTACAGGGACAGCCTCATTTTTCTCCCTCATAGAACAGCTGATGGATTTGAAATTGAAATGCTGGCTTTGCAGTTAGCAGCCAAATGCCTTACCCAAAGTGTCACCAGGACTCCCCATTCTTGCAAAAGTGATCAACAATTTACATTTGCCTAAGCAGTTACACTGCGCAACTAGTAGGGCTTATCACACAGAGAAGGCAATAAACAGATAATCCCCTCCACTTCCAAAAGAAATAATTATTATACAATAAAGCAAAGATAGATGAAAGACAGAACATACCTACATTTTAAAAAATAAAGCAAAATCCTCAGGCTTCAAGTGATTAATCATGATTATTGTAATCTTAGATACATTACATTACAGTAGCTTACCTAAGCCTTTCTTCAAGACATGCAATTTTTTTCGGTAAAACTTACAACCAGGAAAGCTTTATGGAGCAGTTCTACTCTGAAACACACGGGGTCACCATGAATCAGAGACCCACTCCATGGCAGTCACCAGCAACAACAAACCTTTCTTCAGAAGTTTAAATTAAACAAGATGAAAATAGTGATCTCTTCTAAAAAGTCACAACCATTGAAAACCCTGAGGGGTGCACCTCTACTTTTCTCTCTTCTTTTTTAATTATTTTATTGAGGGCTCTTACAGCTCTTAGAACAATCCATACATCAATTGCATTGATGACATTTGTATCCATGTTGCCATCATCATTTTCAGAGCTTTTCCTTTGTACTTGAGCCCTTGGTACCAACAGCTCTACTTTTCAACACACGGGGTGACCGAGAATAAGAAAGGAGTCCTTAAAAAAAATTTAAAAAAGAAAGGAGTCCTTGGTACCTGGCTTTGTATTGTTGCCTGAAGAATATTGTTTGCTTGTATTTGATCCTATTTTTGAAAATGAATGAATTAGTGTATCCACTTTTTAGCATAACTATAGGTAATCATTAGTGTTAAAGAAATCACTGCCTCAAGTAAGCCGTGGAAAGAAGTTGAGGAACAGTAATGACACCACTTAAGAGTTTCTAAGAAAGTCAATATACATAAAATAAAGTCATGTAAAATGCAAAATGTATGTGACTCTAAATTGTTAACCTTGCACTAAGATCTTAGCTTCTCATCATTTTCCAATAAAAAGAATTAGGTTTTAGAAAATTCTAGGTCAAAGCACGAAAATGTTCAAAAGGAACATGAAACAAACTCTTTCACGGTACAAGAAAATGCTCAAAAAATAATCAAGATACATCAAAAAGCTTGAAGGATTCCCAGTGACAAAATTTCAGAAAATTTCAGAACAGAAATAATGGAATAGCCTACGTAATATAGTAAGAATCTCTACTTCCATTCACAGGTAAATGACTAAGAAGGTGTAAGGAACGAGAAATTGCTTCTACATATATGATTCCAAATAAATATAAAAGGGATGATGGATTTAATTGGCATTTAGCAACAACCATAGTAGTACTGCTTCATGCAATAATCATTAGTGGATGCTAAAATAGGAGGGAAAGTATGATGAGAAACAGTGATTTTCAAGCAGGGCTTCAAAAACCAGTTCTTTCAAGCTCATTTATGGCTGAAGAAACATACATATTTTTTTTTAATTGGGGTAGAACCAGAATGATAACCAGAATAAGAAGTATTACTATTTAAAATGTTGCTAGAAACTCAATCTCCCTTTTAGAAATCAAGGACAGTATACATGTTGCATAGCAATCAAATCTCTTGCCCAAAGGATTTAGTATTTTGAGCAGAGTCAGAGACAACAGTAGCAACTAAAAGATGGCAGCCAAACGAATGGCAAGACGAATAAGCTCTGTTAACCTTCACCCAATTTACAACCCTTTGAATGAGTGTTGTTCTCCAGTCTCCACAGTCCTGCCAAGAATCCACTCTCATGCATCAGACTCATGAAAGGACTCCTTACACCTCTTCTCAGCTTCCCATTGCGGGTCTTCCACCTGTAATTATTTCCACTCCAGTCTCCTGGATCACTCAAAAATGTTAAATCCTCGTGCTTTCTGCTTCATTGGCTACCACAGAATTGGTTTGAACCCATGTGAAGATCTAGTGAAGATGTCCCCTCAACAAGATACATATTTACAGGGAAAAGGGAAAAAGTTAGTAACTTTACTGTGGAGAAACTGACATGCACCACCACCTCAATGAAAAGATCAAAAATATAACCAAGATTGGAATATACTGATGTCAAGGTAGCTACTGGGGATGCACTGAGGACACAACATCGTCTATGGCACTGCTGCCAAAAATGCATGATCAAAATCTAATCGCAGGGAAACACCAGTCAACCAAGAGCAGTCCGCAGAATGTCTACATCACAAAAGAGACTCAGATTAAAGCACACTAAAGAGACAGGACACCTAAATGTCCCTCAGAGAACCTGTGTTGCCAGAGAGAAGGAAGGAAGGAAAGAAGGGAGGGTGGGAAACAAAGAAAACATGAATGGGATAAATGGCGTAAGTTAAATACCGTAACAATCACACAGGGTTTTTTAAAAATTATGTACTTGCTTTTAGGAAATACACACTAATGTAAGAAAGAGAATCTAACTATTGGTCTCTACTAGTCAAGAGCAAAGGACAAAGAAATCAAAGTCTCAGAGAGGAAACTAATCATTCAGACTAGTAGCCTAGATAGTGCTTGACCAGCACTATGGACTGTTCTAAACAGAGCCAAATAGAATGGACCCTAATTTAAAATATATATAATATAAAATACTTTATATATACATATGTAAAGTGTGTACTGCTTTGTAAGCTATGCAAACAAACAAACAAAACCCCACAGAACTCCAATTCTTAAAAAGTTCAGACTCGGACCACGTGAGACTAGCAACCTGAGATACTTACTCTTAAACCCTGAGTCAAAACTACGCCAAGACCACCTCCTTGTGAAGTAACAAACTGGCCCACTGAATAAAGACTATTACCCGTAAGTAAGGCCACTCACTCACTCATTCACCGCCATCGGGGCCATAAGGACTCAGAGAGACCCTATGGGACAGGATAGACTGCCCCTGTGGGTTTCCAAGACTAATTCTTTCCCGGAGCAGAAAGCCTCATCTTTCTCCCATGGAGCAGCTGGTAGTTTCGAACTGCTGACCTATGGTTAGCAGCCCCAATGCATAACCACTATGCCACAAGGGCTCCTGACATATATAAGGTGACCCCATTAAAAAATTAGTAGTGAAACCCCAAGACTATACCGCTTAGTTCCTCTAAACCTCTAGAAATGAAACCACCCCCAATTTCAGCCAACAAGAGACAGGTCTGTAAGGGAACTGGAATGCTAATGAGGTGCACACACCTTAGAATAATCAGCCATTTGAGATCAAAAGTGCAGCATTTACCCACAATGTACATATATACTCGTGTAGAAGCAGAGTTTTTCAGTATTTTTATACAGTTTGTGGTAAAATTAGGTGCCTCGGCTGACATTTGGGTCGGCTTATACGCAAGTATATACAGTCTAGAAGATTTAGGAAAGAAAACAAGAAACACAGGGAACAAGTGGGATAAGCAATGTTACGACGAGAGGATTGCAATGAATAAGATGAGACAAACTGTATATGATTATTGAATGCAAAACGAATAAGCTCTGTTAACCTTCACCCAATTTACAATGAGAACAGGGGGGCAAGTGACCCTGTGCAATGAATACTACGCTCCCTTAAATAATCAAATACATGTGACCCAATCCGTCCACTTTCCCCTAAAACAAAGATGCTTAGAAAGGACAAGGAAAGCGAAACTAATGGAAGCTGACCTAACAGAAGGAAATGAGAACATTAACACACTGTGGAAAGCATAACCTACGTAATGCACGAATGCATGCTAACAACTGTTGGATGGGAACATAGCTATTCAACTTTCACGCAAAACACAGTACAATCTTTTTCATAGTGGCCCTGTAGAGAAGGAGAAATACGATTGAAAAACGGTGACCTAATTTTAACTCTACAGACTGTGTTTTCTATAGTGACCATAGACATTTGTAATTTTAAATAATTTCTAGACAAAGTACTGAGGAGAGATTCTAAATTAGATAACCACCTAAACCAGTTTTACCAAAAAAAAACCCTCCAACTCATGGCTATCTCATCTGTGTCAGGGCAGGTTTCCAATACCAGTGTCTTTCTTTCAATACGCTGGCAAAAGTTGAATCTGCAACCTTTTCCATTAGCAGTTCCACCTAGGCACCATTAAACGAGAGTGCAAATTAGATAAAGGGTAACTCAAATAACAGCAAGAGCCCAGAGTAACCATGAAAGCCTGCAGAACAAGTGAGGTTGGCTGGAAACTTCTGTCTGCGAGGAGACTCCCAGGGAGCGCTCTAGGAAAAACACATCACCTCCAACAATGGTGAGAATAAAATATTCTATGGCTGTACTAACAGTCACCAGATATATTGGTTATGCTGCACCTAAATGTGGCTAGTCCAAAAGAAACTGCACTGTGAATTCCAACGACTTAGTAGGATGAGAAGAATAGCGAATAGCTCATTAACATTTTTATATGTTTTTTCAAACTGCCATCGAGTTTACTTGTGACTCATAGCCACCCAATTGGACAGAGTAGAAATGCCCCAAAAAGTTTCCAAGGCACAGCAGCTGGTGGATACAAGGTGCCACCCTTTCAGTTAGCAGCCGGCTGTAATGTTTTAAGCATGGCACCACCAGGACTCTTGCGTATTATAATGATTACATAGAGAAATGCATTTTGGAAGTCCTGGACTAAACAAACTATATTATTAAAATTGATTTTAACTGGGTTTTTTCCCTTTTTTTTAATATAGTGCTAAGAAAATTTGGGGCAGTAGCTGTTCTTTGGTAGAATCCTCCCTTTCAAGCAGGGCCCCAGGTTTGAGTCTCTGCCTGTGTCCCTCATGGGCAGTCACCACCCGTCTTTCAGCAAAGGCTTGCGTGCTGCCATGATGCTGAGCAAGCTTCAGGGGAGCTTCCAGACAAACAGACTATAAAGAAAGGTCTATCTCTCTTCTTCAGAAAATCATTCAATGAAAATCGTATGGATCAAAGTAGTCTATTCTCAACAAATTATGGAGAGGTCACAACTTCCAGGTGTACGTGGGGTTGCCATGAGATGAATCTGATTTGATGGTCATTAACAGCAACTGTATTTTTTTTTAATTAAGATTGGATGTGTAGTTCACATTCTATTTCTTTTACACAGTACTACTTTAGAAATTTTTTATAAAATATTCAACATATTGCACAATATCAGATGCTATTTAGGAGATACCATTTACTTAAGACAAACCATTTCAAAATAAGACTCTGGTCCTTATGAATGATAATCAATTCAGTACTTCTTAAATAAAAGCATTGCTTTTCAAACCATA